CCCCCCCCCCAGTCCCTCTCTGGGCCCTAAAAGAACTCTATTACTGACCGCCGCTGTCAGTCACAGCGCTCTCTGACAGAACACTGAAAGCCCAACTGTATGTCTCCATCCAGCATGTGTAAAAAGTTACAGACCCCTCCAAAGGCAAGGCAAGTCGGATGGAAGCAATGACAGCAAAGGGAGAGCCAAAACTTTCTATGAAATGTTTTAATATGCAAAACTAAATTTAAGTTTGTTCAAATATTCCAAGACTTACGGTAAATAGGCAGAGCCTCCCTGTAGTTTGGCCCCTTCCCAAAAACAGTCCAATGGGGTGATTATCATACAGGGGAATAGCTTGTCAATCATCTAGGATCAGATAATAGAAAAGACGGATGATTAAACATCACAATCAAGTACATATGAACGCATAGCGTTAAAAAATATGAATTTGTTGTACTTACCCTTTCAATCATGACATGTTCTATAATAGGAACTCCTGATTTATAGCATATTTTGTTAAGATCCCATGACCTGAAAGAGAGAAAACCATTTCTTTAATTTACAAGTCCTATTTGCACAACACAAGGAAACTTTTTCAAATAACATGTCTGTGGTCCACTTACTTTCCAAACAGTGACACCTGGACCTTGCTGGCGGAGAGGGCGGCCTCCATGTGAACCAGCAAAGCCTCCTGGGTAAGAATATTGGTGCCCTCTTCTTTGGGGGTCTGGATAAGCATCTGTGAGGTAAATACTGACTCCTCTCCCTGCTTCTCCTTGGTGTAGCGAAGCTCCGTGCTGACCCGACTACCAGCTGGAAAACAAGGAATAAAGGGCAAATTAATACTAAATTCTTCAGATAGATAGATAGATAGGTAGATAGGTGGATAAGTAGATAGATAGATAGATAGATAGATAGATAGATAGATAGATAGACATTAGCACATTATTTACTGAACGCTTATACAAATGTGCGCCCACACACATTTGGATCCTATAACAAAGTGTGTTGCATGCATATATATGCACACACACAAGAGAACACACACATATATCGACCAACGCCCTTGGCCCTCGCCAGTGTTGGTTTTGAAGGCACTTCACACAAGCCAGCGTCTGGCCAAGAGAAATGAGTAATACAGCTTCTCATTGGCTCCCTCTGCGAAACAGATGTGCCCTGTTCGTTTGGAAAACCAGCTTTCTGATGCCCCAGAGCCCTCTGCCACTCTGCTCGGGGCAGCAGATATCCATTTAGACTTTTTGAGTACTTGGGAAAAGATCATGATGAGAGGAGAGTTGGTTAAGAGGGAACAGCAAGTGGTCGTTTTAATATGGCCAACAGAGTTGGGATAAAAGACATCAAAGAAATTGGAGATACGAGGCGACACAGGAAGGTAAATAGATTCATAGTGAGAGTTATGTTGGATGTCAGAAGTGGTAATGATGAAAAAAAGAGATGGAGGATGAAAAAACAGAAGGAGAGAGAGAGAGAAAGAGGGAGAGGGCGAGCTATGTTGTGCTGTGCGGTAGACTCCAGCCCCCTAATTACAGGAGGTTGCCCTGAAAAGAGTTTGCCAGCCGGGGGGATCTGTGCCTGTGCCAAGTGGACATGAAACATGCCGCGCTGGATCACAGAGGGCCAGTCTGCCCCTCTTGCTGTCCCACTACATGACAACCCCGGAGAGAGAAAGAGAGGGAGAGAAGGGGGAGGTGGGGGAAGTTTGGAAACAAGGGCTACCTCCTTCTTAATTCTAACTCTTGTCACTCTTTAACTCACTTTACCCTGCGCTGCACTCAATCCTGACGGCGTCTACTCCTCTCATACTCTATACTAATACTGTCTCAAGCTCCTGCCTCTGTCTTCCTCTCAAGCGGTCTCCCCCTTTTAATTATTTCATTATTTCTCTCCCTCTCTCTCGTTTCCTCACGCTCTCTGCACCTCCCCCAGCCTGTAGCAGGCTCCTATAATTGATGGGGAGAAAAGAAAAAACTAACTATTCAGAATACGCCGCAAAAGTGTGAGATCAGGTTAGAACTCTTCGCCTTGGAGACGTAGTCAAACATTTCTAGGCTTGGCTTCAAGGCTTTAATTACTTCAGAATATAAGGTCACCTCGTTTATTTGCATTCATGGGTGTCTGGCTTAGTGCATCCCGAAAAGAAAAACAAAAGTCAAAATGTTCTTGCTTTTCATTCTGAACATCTGGTGCTACACATTTTTTTTTTTATATAACAATTTATTTCCAAAAAGTCACAACGGTAAAGATTTTGATTAATTTCCTCAAAATAACGATTTTTCTTAAGAGCCAGAATCTGGGTTTATTTGACTTTTATTAAACAATTATCACACTGTCAAATATATCTGACTTGGTGTAAAAATGGTGCTTAGAGGTACAGATCTCCACTTCCTTGCCTCACAGATTTCCAATCAAAAAAGGGCTACTACAAAATGGAACCCTTTCCGTTCTTAGACCTCTTTGACATCTGTTAAACCTTTTTTGACATTTCGTATGTTAACCTCTGCAGTGTGGGGTTTTTATCCCAACAGGAACTGGGTGGCTCGGAGAGACTCTGGCTCTGTAATTACAGGCCTCCTGAAGTAAATTATAGCTATTTGTGTCTCGTTCCTCCCATCTGGACCACCCAGGCAGCCAGTCCTCTCTCTTCTCCCTCTCTTTCTCGCCTTCTCTCCTCAACCCCTGGTCCGGGCCCCAGCCACCCAACTCTGAGCTCGGCAACCACTCTGATCAATTCACCGCTCACTCCTGAAGCAACCTTGTCTTTTCTTTTCTCGTCTGTCTTTCTTTCTATTTCCCGGGTTCTCTTCTTCCTTTCCTTCATCTTTCTTTCTACTTATTTCTCATTCTCAGTCTTTTTCAATCCCCCCCTATCCTCTCCCTGCACACAGCCTTAAAGAGACAGTTCCCAGAAATGTTCCCACCCTAGGAAGAAAGCCCCTTTGAGTTTGGATACCCAGGGTTTCAACACCCCAAATGCTGGTTATTATAAAACATGATACATTTTGTAAGATTAAATATTAGTCCATGTTTGGCAACATGATCAACAATAAATAAAAAAGAATCACAAAATTGTCGCAAATCTTTCTAAATCCAATCCACAGTTTTTTTCCTTGGAAGTTTTTGAGAAACTCGACCACCATCCTACACATTTTAGCAAACAACTCGACTTTGCTGGGTGAAACATGTGAATCCATTTACAAGCTTCACCACTAAAAGCCCTTTCACAACAGTTACGACATTGGGAAAGTGAAAAGCAAATGAAAAATGTCACAACAAGCCCTGACATGGCTGCGTTTTAAAATATAATGTTTGTATTAACACGTGTTTGTGTGTGGTGTGTGTATAACTGGTTTGAACACTGTACCCTGTCTCCACCAACCTCCGTCATTTCCTCTCCACCTGACCCCCCCATCACCAAAAGTTGAAATGTGTGGCTTCTCACATCTGGCTTCTAGGACGGAGGAAGGCCATCTTTCAAGTGGTGGGCTTCAAATATATTCTATTCTCTTCTGTCTTCGTGGCTTACAGGCCTAGTCCCAGTTCCAGGCCATGCTAGGTCAGACCAGGCCACCATCAAAGTTCAGTGTGGTAGATTAGCTGGATTAGGGGGCCTCTGAAAGGCCCCACGCTGCTATGGAGGAAGACCCAAGACGAAGAGGGCTGAAAGTGACATGTATGCTTTTACCTTCTATGTAAAGCAATGGAAGTTACCCTTTCCGAAGCTACACAGGAAGGCAACTAAGATGTAATGAGCCACCAATTTAAAGAACCACCTTTAAAAAAAGAGGTAGCAACAATATAAATACAAATCCCTTGGATCTTCTATCCATCATTAACTATTTCTTTACTTCCTTTCTTCACTGTCCTCCAATAGGGGTCCTTTATTTCTTTAGATTTTCAGTAAAAGAGCCAAATGATGAATTCATTATCTTGCCCTGGCATCACAAAAAACTCTTGGTCCTTTTGTCAGATGTGGACCTACCAGAATCAGGACTGTGCCCCACTCTGGGTCCTCAGCCCGGTCCTGCCCTATGGCATTCCCTAGCCAGGGCACCGCCTAAAGCCAGCAGATGGGCCGTACCTCCATACAAGCCACAGCTCCAGACTGAATGCAGACCCTTTTGTCCTTCAACCCTTCAATTTCTTTCAGATGTTTCCCAACAAACAGCAGAATAAAATAAAGAGAGAACGCTTTTTTCACAACAGAACCAAATGGACCAAAACTTTCCCAGCCTGTAAAACAATGCCAGAGTCGGCTGTGGGAGGGTGAGGCTAGGGGCAAGAAAGAGAAGCTGGCACTTTAGTATCTCACCTATAGAAATACAGTGTGTGTGTGTGTGTGTGTGTGTGTGTGTGTGTGTGTGTGTGTGTGTGTGTGTGTGTTTTTTTGTCTTCACACGCTGTATCTGTTCATTAATCGTGAAAGACAGTTGTGTCATTTTATGTGGAGAAAATCCTATTTCATGTGCAAACAGTACAAAAAACTAAATTGATCTCTCAATCTGTTTAAACTCTGAAGCTCCAACCATCATGAAATAAAAAAAAATAGCTTGAGACCACACCTTAAAAACTGTATAAAACAGCGAAAACAACATGAAAAATCAGTTTCACTTACATTCTATTCAGATGTGCCAGTGGTGTTAGCCACACACATAAATTTCCACCAGGGTTGGCATTTAGGCACTTTCTATTTCCATATGTATAGGCTTGCCTCTGCTAATTATGCTAATCATGGGCAGAGTTGGCCACTGTGAAAAATAGTCACATTAGACACTCCACTGACCGCTAATACTGCTTAATGTGTGGTTGAAACATACATTCATCCCGGCCTGAAAGGCAGAATTTTTCCACGTTGCTGGTCTCATTCAGACGAGAAATGAATTTATTGAGCCTAAGAACCATTTCTTTTTTCCCCCCCAAGTACCAAGAAAATGTTCAGTCTCTCTCCCTCTCTCTCCTTTTACATTTATACTTTCATGGTGTAAAGACAGAGGCAAATGGTGCAAACTCTAAAGGTGACTGGTGCCGCTTTATTTCGTTCAGACCAAAGACAAAGGTTGCTCTGCAGCCAAGGAAGAAAGGGTGCCACACTATATTGATTGAGTTTTTATTATCCCAATTTCAGTTGCGTTGCAGACTTTCTCAGTAAGCATTTAAGACAGTCCGGTTCCCTTTTTTATATAAGGCTTTGGCAACAAAATAACCAAACAATAGTTCTTTAAGTTATCTCTGTAAACGTGGCCACATCAGTACTTGTGTTAAGATTTCTACTTTAGAAATGCAGGTAGTGAGCAGCCTGTGTTCCCCATTAAATGGAGGCCATGTGTCTGTCATATGTATCTATAGCTGCTCAATGTGTGTTTATTTGTTGGGGGGTGGTCTTGGTCTAACTGTTGAAGAGTGTGTGTGTTGGGGGGATGCTGAAAAAGGGGATGGAATGAGGGAGAGTTGGATTGAAGGATGGCGGGAAGGGGGGTGAAATAAACATTTAGAAGTGACCCAGGTTGACTCTGGTCTTGTTTGTTCTCTCTACCAGTGAGGTCCTGGGCCCTGAGCGCTGGGAGTTTATTTATCTAGCTGGGGCACCACCGCGCACTATTCACCTCCAATAATGCCTCATAGAGCTCCCTTTCTCTGTCTGAACTGGGGCGCTGTGTGCGCTCTGATGAATTATAGCATTTACCTGCTGTGCCGCTCTGAGGTTTGTTTAGAGAAACTGCTCCAAACACAGAAATGCCCACGTGTGCATTCGCTCATTTACTCAAACTCAGACGTCTTTTCTCTTATCCAGACTCTTTTTTAATCAATCCAGTTCCTTGGTCTGATTGCTAGCTGGCTAGGCTAGTCTCTATGCATTCATGCTATGGTTTTAACCTCCCCCTTTCCTATCCTCTTTCTACATGGCCTCTTTATGGGACATGTGGTGCGCCTGCTATCCGGATAGGCCCTGTCTCACGGAACTCATATTTGGACAGCTTGAGTCTGTGTACATGTCTGTCATGCCTCACCTAAACTATATGCCAAGAAGGATGAGTTTAGTTAATGTAAGAGTAAACACCACAATTTTTACATGGAGGCCATTTCTTTCCTTTCATTTCCCAAATAACCTTTTCAAATGGGTCTTTGTTAAATGGTGATACTATTTATACAGACATTTTGGGACAAATTCAAGCTTAGGCAAGTAACTTCTCCTCATTCAAACACACCCTCTCCCCGTCCTTTATGGTGGAAGAAAGGCATGAAGGAGACACTCTCACACTTGATGGTTGTTCAAGTGAGACAGGCAAAAACACAGGCAAAAAAAAGCCATAAACCTTCAGCCCTGTTCCTGTCCCAACCCCCCTACAGTCTGCTCTCATCCTTCTCTTCTTCCTACACCTCTCTTTTTACGATCTCTCGCTTTTCTGCTTGTGGACAATGCAGACTGGCTCACACAAACGTTCACACTTTCAAAGGTGACAGGCTGTTTAAGCAAACACTATAGAGGACAACATGCAAAGCTTCAGTTACTAAGAAATTACACACATTGGGGAATTATAGAAATATAATGTAATGTTTAAATAATAATGTATGTTGCTGAAGGAATATTGTCTATAGATTAGACACCGTCAAAAAATATGCTACTCTGGAATACAACATTTATAAACATTGATATACAGGGCCTGTGAGAGTGCTTGAAGGAATTTGGATGGATATCTGTCTCAGATTCCCTCGGTTACTAAGCAGTAAGCCAGAAACAGACTTTAATCCCCCTGTCAGACTAAACACCCTGATACTGTGTCTTTTATTCTCACCTACACAGGTGTGCGGACTGAAGGCATGATTAACCCTTTTACTCTTTTGTTGTATGTCCCCCGTGCTTTACCGAAGACTAACATGTGAATCCTTCAGACAAACAGAAATAAAAACGTATACAAGTTCCATACAGTGGAAGTATAGTTGCAGGTATACATAGTACAGACACCAACTTTACTGGCTTTCATATTCTGTCTCTACCCATCTACTCTCTCAAGGCTCCACTGCTGTGCTCTGCTTCACAGTGTTTTGGTCCAGTAGGAGGGGAGGAAGCAATTAAAAAAGCCCTGGTGGCCTGACTTCACAGAGCAGGCAGACAGACAGGTAGAAATATAAACAGACATACACAGGCATTGGGAGACAGACGGGCACGCAGTCAGGAAATTCATGCCGACAGACAGACGGCTAGCCAGGCTGTACACCAAAGGTGGCAAAGATGACAAGTGTGCGTGGGTAGTGCGGGGGCAGCCCATAGTATGAATATATGATGGGAAGCATACGACCCTATCTCACACACACACACACACACACACACACACACACACACACACACACACACACACACACACACACACAGCTAACACCATGTTGGCAGTGTTAACACATACGGTGTCAATTCCTAGATAGTTTATTCTGAACAAATGAGGATTCAAGCGGGAAAGCTTTGTTTACACTGCAATCTGGGAGAAGTGTCTTATATATCTACTGCAATATAAATTACAAATATTTTACGTTTAATATAAACAAAAAGAGACAATTAAAACGTTAAATCTAAAGTCCCCTTATATAAAATCAGCGTTGTTTATTAGATAGAATGTCATTCCTGCCTATTCTGAATTGTGTGTTTTTTTTGTTTTTGTGTGTGTGAGAGAAAGAAAATGAGAGAGCAAAAGAGATAGAGAGAAAGAGAGAGAGAGAGACCTAACCTCTCCTTGTTACCGAACCACTTTACTCTCCATTGAGGCCCTAGCAGCTTTGTCAATGGGCTATTGGTGGAAACAAGGCAGGCAGAAACTTTAGAAACATGGCCACGGCCTCTTAAAGGCACAGCATTCCTTTTCAGACCCCCCTGTTCAACTCTCTCAATCCCACAGCAAAACAACTGGCACACAAATATCTAAACATCTCCTTTACGAGATGGATCTGCCAATTAGCTCAAGAGGTAATCCTGAAGCTTTACACTAACCAGAATGAAACCAAAGAAAAAAGAGACTGTTGAATAAAAAACTCTTGTTGCCTTCTTTGGTTGCAAATTCAGGCTTTTGCAATGTCCAGCTAATGGTTTTTGGAACGACAGTACATTAACAAATATTGTTTCTTTAAATTGTGCCTGCTACATGAACTTATTTAAATGACTGTGCAAGTGAAGTGAACACAGCCTCCAAACACTCCTCCTAACACTAGCAGCGTGTGATTTCTCAAACACCTCCACACAGCTCCTGTGGGAGCCGCTTGTCCCCGTCCTCTGGTGACATGGTGGGCTTAAAAAACCCCATAGAGTCTGTTTATATTCACCAACTGTTGTAGCGCTTTTAGAGTGTGCAAAACAGGTGGGTAAACTTCAGCTGCATTCACTTATATTTTTTCTTCTTGTGAGGAGGAGAGGAAAAGGAGGGAGGGGGTTTTAGGGAGGTGGTGCCTGCTTGCCTGCCTGCCTGCTTGCCTCTTGTTGAATGGAATCCAAGAATAGTTAGGGACCACACAGGGAGCTGAGGGGGGGAGGGGTCAGAGCCCTCAAAGATGGCTAACCATTCACACAGTCCATCTGCTGCGGGGATCAGCCCCGGCACTGAAAGCCTGGGGGTTTAAAAGGAATTTGGCCGGTGTGAAAAACCAAATAAAGCTGCCTCTACTGCTGAAAATGTACAGAAAACCTAAATATCAAATGCACGGAGAGTGCGGACAAGAGAACGGTATCACATCTAAAAGTTTTTGAGTCAGCGACTCACAAAAACAGTAATGCTTATGGGACAGGCGACAGATAGTCAATCGGTACACGAGAAGAGGTGGAGAGTGCTGTGGTGTTTCTCAGGTTAAATGTGACTTATTAAGACATGAACAGACATGAGCGACCCACACTGAGCTTTTAGAATACAATAAACAGTATATTCCCATCCACAACACACACAAACAACTACACCAAAGGAACGTAATACTTTATCCAATATCTCAAATCCTTATATCTTTATAACATTCAATAAAGTGATAGTGTGGATCATATTAATTTCACCTAGACAAACGTAAACACAACTTGAAACCAGCTTCCACAAATCATATCCTTGCTGCTGCTTCAGTCAGTCTATCTGTCACTGAACATATAGTGCCCTCCCATGGCACTGAGATGACACTAACAAGACCACACAGCATTTTCCCACCAGCCACTTTTGACATTAAAAGTCCAGATAAACAAAAAGGAAAAAACAAGCTCATAAAGATTTTCAAACTTTCAAAACTGAATCCACACATTTATGCCACCTGACAGATGTGTGTGAGAAACCGTTACAACATCTTTACATTGCTGAAGTGAAAAGAAATATCTCAATCTTACCTTCGACCCATAGCTGTTCGATGTCCGTTTCGATAGCTGCGACTCGAAGCCCCACAGACAGAGCTCCGAATACTAAGAGTCCAATAAAGAGGACCTTCCCACAGTGCCTCTGGATGTGGCAGCCCAGAGAGAACAGGAGGGCCTGGAACCTCGCCCGGATCCAGAGAGGAGCTTTCTGACCTACCGCCTTCCCCTGGATCAGAAGCGGGAGGGAGGGCGAGAAAAGGACAGAATTAGTATCAATATGTTACCACAGATACATCAAATATCATTGCACTACTGTCTGCAAAGGCTTTCATGCAGATTGATCTCTATCTGTGTCTCAAATGTGAAGGAATTCTGAGACATCTGATTAAGATATAAAAGAGTTTTCTGTGTGTGAGGTTTAAAGTAAAGCTTGGTATAACATAAGGACATTTTAAGGTGCCAACCACAGATTTAATGCCAGTGCTGTCCTAACACAAGTTTGTGCTCTTATATTCCTGATAAAACTGTGTGTATCGCCTGAACTCAGTCCAGGTCCTGACAGGTTGTCCCCTCACACCTCTCATATAAGACTGTTTAATCTTCAGAGTTGTGGCAATAGCAGTTTAAATGTACAAAGAAACAGCAATGAAAAGCAGCTTAAAAACACAATTTTCATCCATGCAGATCAAACCCAAAACATAATGGAAGCAATAATGAAAATGCTGATTATATTTGCAGTTTAGACTTTATCAAAGTAATCTAAAGGTTTAAATAGACACCTTATGAATCAACATATGTGTGGCAAATGTAAGATTGGTAGTTTATGGAAGAATTGGGTAAGTGAATGCCTTGTTCAATCACATTTGCATGAGTATAAACTGAAGCTAATGAAGTGGTTATAAATAAAGTTTCAGCTGAAATCCATCCTCCTGCAGTGATCTACATTATACCGGGTTTTCCTCTAATTTGTAATAGATCTATTAAAAATATTGACTTTAGGGCGAACCATTCAGTCCCTGTGCTACAAATGTCAGTGCTGCAGAAGACATTGCACTGGTGTTGTGGTTTCTCTCAGTAGTGCTGAAACACGTCCAAGCATCCGGGCGGTCCAAAGATGCTTTGTCAGATCAAACTCAATCAGTGAATTCCTTTACAGGACCCACCACATTTCCAAACAGACCCCGGGCCAGTGCGCTCTCCGCTGCCTGCACAAAGCCAAAAACACGCACAACACGGCTGGGATATGGGAACAAACCCTCACTCACTCCCTCCCGGTGGCTCTAACAACAACACTGAATGAGAGTCTGCTGTCCATTCAAAAACACAGCAAAGTTAACAGGCTGCCAAATATGAAACTCCTGTTAAGTTGTTATCACTTTATTCCAGGAGGGTCCTCAATATGTCATGCCAACTCCACTTCTAACAGGGTTTGTCCCACTAAACATTAAGGATAAAATAATATGCTTTCTTTATCACCCCTCATTACAATTTATTTACATTGTTCGTTAAGTTATAACAGTTAGTGAGATACTGCTGTTTCGCTGTTGGCTCCCTCGGGTGCTCCGGTGGTCCCCAGTTTGGGAGCTCCAGCTACACTACACTCCCATATGAGCCCTAAACTCTCCATTAGATTACGGCTAAATCTAAAGCTGACTTTAAAGACTTTTCATTCAAATTTGCGGAGTGAATGAAGGCTGACTGCATAGTAAATCCACACCAAACTGCGAGCATTGTATCACCTTTGAGATCTGTTTAAGTGCAAAAGCAGCGTGGCAGTAGCTGGGTCTCCGGAGTACGTCTGGGTTTGTAGGCGGCTGGGAGCGCGTATAACTCGGGGGTAAATCTCCATAGACGCCGGCCCCTGGGACCCCGCGATCCGAGGCCATAGTCCAAAGAGGGTGAATTAAACGGGGCGCAGAGCGAAGCGACAGAGAATCGGTGCGAGTTCAGAAAAAGCGACAATAATCCAACATAGAAGAGGAGCGCATCCAGCACCGCCGGCGACAAGTTAGAGGAACGCTTTCTAATCTTCCTTGGAGCCAAACAAGTCTCGAAACTCCATCCCAACATTATGCGCCGAAATCCGTATAGATCCTTCAGTCTTCATTCGTCCCGATAGATTGTGAGAAGACGTCTCAGAGAGGAGTAGTAGTAGCCAGTTGTAGTAGTAGTAGTAGTAGTAGTAGCCTGTGTCTGAGACGCCCGTGTCAAGTCTAACTCCGATCCCGTAGCGGTAACATTTGGAGAAGTTCGCCTCTCGGCAAATCCTGAAAAGGGAGGTTTGATGGAAAAGTGCTCCGGCTCCCATTGGCCAAGGAAGAGGCAAATTACTTTGCAAACATCGCCTATTATTAGCTGCTAAGCAACAGCTCACCAAAGTGGAGAGAGAGGGGGACCACCCAGGCTGCTGCTGCCTGGGCTGGAGGGAGGGGAGGAGGAGGACGGGGGAGGAGGAGGGGGAGGGAGAGAGGAACTCTTTCAATAAACTCTGCACAGCCGCGCACACACACACACACACACACGTGCGCGCGCACTCACGCACACAGCTTGCTGCCTGCCCGCCTCACTTGGTCTGTGAACATTATTTCCCAGTGACTGGACCCTCCAGTTAGCAAAGGAGAAATCGCACATGCCATCTATTGATATCACAGCCACATGCACGCACGCACGCACACATATGTTCAGTTTCATCAGTAAAGGGCAATCAGTAAAAAAAAGAAAAAGAAAAGGTACTTCAGCAGCTTTTTAGAAAAGAATGTAAACATGTCATTCATTTTTTTTGTATGGGAGAATAACAGATCTGTCAACACTTTTCATATCACTTCAGGTCATCTCGTGCGAGTGCAATGATTTTTTGAAGTCTCACATCTGTCATAGAACACCCCCGAAAATACATTTGTTTTACCCTCTCATGCCACCAGTGCAGTTTGTTATAGGCAGCTGTGAGAAGAAGTGTGTGAGTAGGGTTTTGGCGCTAACAGCTGTAACCTCAACTCTTGTGGTCAAAAGCTTCTAAAAGTAGGTTGATAGGCCTTCTTACACCCTAGAAAATATAACCTCTCATCCCTGTAAAGTTACCCTTTAAAGCTTGCAGGAATTGCTCCACACATGCCTCCTTTTAATCGACACCTTGGAGCTGCCTGGTTCATAGTGACACCCTTATCTCTGTGGAGACTTTTGGAACGTTTCCATGTCACGCCATGCATGATTTCAAGAGTTCAGAGAGCAGTTCACCTAAGAACAACATCAAAAATTGAAAGAAAAAGAAAGAAAGAAAGAAGGAAAGAAAGAAAGAAAGGGGGTTCTTAGACAGTTTATTTTTGTAATCTCTCTCAAAAAAAGAAGTTATGAGTGTCTTGGTGGTTTTCTAATGAAAGCCCCCATTGGCCCCACTCATGGCAGTATGGGGGTGAAGAAGAAACACTTTGCCAGATTACACACATCATTGTCTGCCTGAACTCAATCCTTTGCTGATGCGGCGAACATTTCTCAGGTACTGACTGGTGCTAATTTGAGGCCCTTTGGACGACTGTAAACATTTTTGAAGCTGAAGTAAAACAATTTGAATGTAGGTGTCGGTGCCATAAGCTCTCTCTGTTTGTGACCGCTACACTAGGTGCACGTTCAACTGATGTAACAGCCATTCCATCCAACATCACTGTTTACATGGGATGAGACAAAGGACATTATTGTGGATGTGCAGTAATGTTGCTGACAATGGGCTGGGGATCTCCATCATGGGAAATACAGCATCGTTTTTTTATAATGCAAAGAAGAAAGTAATGAGATAATATTAAAAAATATGTATGAACTTTAATGTAGTAAGCAATCACAGATCAAGTCTACCTTCCCTGACGTTGTTTTCACACTCAGATGAATTGAAATGATTTTGTGATCACAGTTGCAACTAATGTTTTTTTTCATTATAGAATAATAATAATAATTCTTTGCTCTATAAAATGTCTGAACAGAGAGTTTATCACAAGCACAATGTGACTTTCCAGCATGCTCAAGTCTGAAGACAATGACAAAAAAAGAAAATCAAAGAAGCTCAATAATTTTAAAAACAGTAAATATTAAGGTATACTTTACTATGGCTACTTTCACATATTTCCATATTGAAATTAGTCTCTAATGCCCAATATTAAGTATAAACTACCATGCATGCACTATCACATGGAAGGAGAAACACTTCATTTTAAAATATCTGTCAGGATACAAACTGAATGACTGCAAGATGCATTTAGTCCTTTTTGGAAACTGTTAAACAGTGTTCAGCTTGATATGCATTTTGTTTCCAGCTACAACAGAGCAGTAGGTCATTAAATCAAAATGTATCTGTGATTGAAATAACATACAATCTTTAAGTTGTACTTGGTTTATGCTACTTTGTTTATGCATTTATCTCACAGTTGTATATACTATACTTTGCATGTTAGGATTTAATTTCATACAAAAAAAACGTAATAGAATACGCAGATGTAACTATGGTATATATAATGAGCTTTTACTCAAAACAATAAAATGTTTCTATTTACACATGGATGCATCATTTTTAACAATCTGATTATAATATTTTAGGGGTTAAGCACTTTTACTTTTGATAATTTAGGTACATTTGTTGATAGTTCTGAATTATTACTTATGCAGGACATAGGACAAGGATTCATTTCTATAGTATTGTTAATGTTGTATAAGGGAGAGATCCAAAGAACTTCTTCACCACTGATGACAGACTTTATCATACAAACCATATAAAGCCCATCTCTGACATATTGTTAATGTTTCCTAAAAATCAGGGTTCACAGTAATGACAACATATCACCAGTCAGTCCACCACTGGTGGCTAAATAATCAAAACGTTCACGGAGGCTGGGATAATAAATACATTAAAAGGCTCAAATATCTGTGTAACGCTCTTTAATCGCTTTTGATACGCTTTGAAGTCTTTGTTTCAGATCTTTATCTTCATTGTTCTTCCTAGCGCTAAGTTAGTAAATGTGGCTGAAAATGAGCGAGACTATATATTTTAACGCTGGTTACAAAAAATAAACAGAGTTGCAGTTTTTAAGCCTCAAATGTCTAAGAAAGATGTTGAGTTTATCTTTTTAATGATGTTTCTTTGCAACCAGTGCCTTATTTGAGCAACAGATATGAAAGGGGGAGACAGGGGGATGACACGCAGAACATGGACCCGGGGCGGTTTTGAACCCACGTCCTCTGCTTGTGGACCAAGCCCCAGAACATGGGCTGACAGCTCCACCAACTGAGCTATACGACAGCCCAAAGTGGAGCTTTTCTGCTGTTCTCTTGGTATATCCTCATAAATCATGATGTTAACACTGACTTTATCTGCCATCTATTATAGACCTTCAGTGTCGGATCACAGGAACTGTTACTAACTTCTCCTTCACACCACACAACAGCATTAACCTCCTCCTCCATCTGTTCAAACGGGGTCCACCAAATGTTCTTATAACCCGCTCCTGATTCTAGAGCACACTGACCGGCCTGTATTTACGCCTTGCTGGACCTGGGTACAGTCTGCCTGGACTGGGTTGGGTCGGGTTGAGTGGTAGAGGGAAACAGGCAGCTGGAAATGGGAGCTAATGTGGAATGTGAGGAATTGGGTTGTGTAGTAGGGGGCCCCTTCAAGCCTAACAAACTCAGGGAGGTCCGAGGCCTGGTCTGGAGGCCTTGGATAAATAAACCATCTGAGATGACCATGCGCGGTGCAGATATCTGCCATCACACCGCCCCAGTCTCCAAACACAAACCGCCCAAGCTCTTTCTCTCTCCTTCTTTCCCTGTGTCCCACTTTGTCCCTCTCCTTCCATCCCTCCCTCTCTCCTCTCCATTTCTATCTCCTACATTTGTCCTTTTTACATTTCAAATTGTTCTTTTTAACACCTTCATCTCTTGGTTTTGTCTGCTTCTCTACTCCTGCTCTTCCTTATCCCTCCCCCATATCTCCATTCCTGCGTTTCATGTCTCCCCAGTGACTCCATCCATCCATCCGTTCATCCATCCATGCATGGCTGGCTGTCCGTCCGGGGTTCTGTATGTGCTATAGGCAGCGCTACGGAACCGCTCTGGCACTCAGCAGCCGAGACGGCCAGGGTTCAGGCCCAGAGAGTGTTTATTTATCGAAGAGGGAGGCAGTGAGACTGCTCACGACTGCATTTCTTCTTTTCTCTCAAAAGGAGTAAGTAAAGATGGCCGGGAAAGTGGACAAAAAGGGTGTTAAAATATAGGAATAATGTTTTAGCAATGGTGATGGTCATTGTAAATTAGGACACATATTCATAGTGAGGTGAAAATGGAACCACAAAAATATTGCAGGATATACCATTACAAACCCAAGTGCTGGGTTTCTGGGGAACATTTAGGAAGTTACACAAAGAAGGGGCATTCCAAAAAAAGGAAATATTTCTGAGAGAAATTGGAAACAAGATTACAAACTTAACTAATTCAATTTCTGGAAGTGAGAATGTGTATTATAAATGCCAAAGCATGACTTTTTATTGAATGTTCTTTTACATATTTGTGTATGTACCTGTCTCCAACAAAATAAAGAAAAAAAACAAATGTGTACAGTGCATGTTAGCGCAACACTATATCAGCAGAGGTTATCTTTAAAGCCCTCTGGTTTTCCCTTTAAATGTTGTGTCTTGTTGAGCAGTGTAAATATGGCATTAGCTTGTCCTCCTATATCAGTTACTCGACAGATATTACCTGGCCCCACAGCTGGTGCACGTATTCACAGAAAGATATCGAGATAAAAAAGACAACAATACATATATTTCTAAAAGAGCCTTTCTAATCTATGTTTAGGATTGTCGAAATGCATTCCAACATGTAAATACAAATAAAACCTAAAGCTTACATGATGTGTCTAAAAAAAACAAGACAGAAATGCATGAGGGAATATATCTGAACAAAGCTTTGAATCTTTAAATCCTAAAACTAAAATGTGTATGCAAATCATTTGTTATGCAGGTCTGGCATAAAGATAAAGACCCTATCCACATTATACAATCACTAAGTAATCTGAAGGCGATTGAGGTGGTATGATGATAAAAAAATGTCTACCCTGTTATTAAACCCTGTGTATACTTATCTATGTGTGAGGGCAACTTACAATAATTTCATTATACAAACCACTTTAAAGCATAAAACTAAAGAGCAGCCAATCTAGACGGAGAGACTAGACTGAGACTGA